CCAACCAATCACAGGCCGACCTAGCCAATGAACGCTCTCTCTCTTTCTGTCTACTGGCCTGACTGCTCTTAAACTGGCACTTGGGACCCGGCCAATCTCCTGGGTGGACGTGTTCTCCCAATTCAGACTTCTTTTATCTATTCTCCTTTCCTATGTGTACACAATATACTCTTCCTTCTACTCTGGCCTTTACAGACTTCTTCTCTCACTAAGTAACCATGGTCTGAAGATCGCAGTTGCTGGGTTTGACTCACTTAACCCACTGTGATACCTACATCTCCCTCTCATCAGAGTGTGGAAATTGTCTAAAGCTGCATATCGCAGGCTAAGAAAGGGATATTTGATGTCAACCCGTACTGCTGTGCACAATGAGACCTACCTAGTCAGCAGTGGGATCCTGGAAGTGGTCACCTAGACGAAGCGATGTCGAATTCGATGGTAGAGGAGGCGAAGTGAATACACGCTCGGATTTTTTCGACCTCATGCGCTTTGAAATGCATGAGAAAATAAACGAGTACTAGTTTGTGGTTTGCAAGTCTAGTGGCAAACTGTGGGATAGTGATCATGCTGCTTAGAACTCCAATATGTGAAACAAAAGCATTCTGATTGTTAAAGTACGTCAGCAGGATTCTTTTGTTCGAGCAGCATCACCTCTCTAATATGAACGTAAATGAGGACAGTCGTATCTTGTTATTATACTAAGGTACCTGTCAGTGCATTCATACACCACCACCACGACTACTACGCGTTGGTTCTTCATAATTTCGACTCAGCACTGGCTCTGAAATATTCCACGCTCTAGAAAGGTTTTGTTACCAGCTAAGAACTCACTAAAGCGTTAAAGAAAATCTAATTTGAGCAACACCATTCATCAAATGTAAGTGTCACCAGGAAACCCTGTCCCTCGTGTTCGCACACGCAATCGAGTGCAATAAAAGATTTAATGAGGATGACACTTAAATCACCGCCATGGCCAACACAAAATGAGAGCGAGAATTTCTCGAGGCTTGATTTGCTACCGCGGACAGTATCAACAGCCACGTTGACTTGGACGACCAATACGGTGGCTTAAGGTCAAGACTTACCGCCCCAATGTCCTAATCACACACATCAGCGACCGCTAAACCAGCCACTCTGACATTAACCGACCCACCATCCGCCCCCAGAGCCCCGTAGCTTCTCAGGCCCTACGCCACCCACCAGCAAACCGTGACTCACTCCATCCCACGCCATTGGTCTCGCCGCCCATGTCGCCTATACTTTCTAGTGTAACCTTCTCACTTCCTCACTACCATTTATTTTGTCTGAGGACGGGCTAGTCTCATAAGCTCGAAAATGCACAATTATAGCTTGATTTTACCGAAGAACTTCCTCCTCCCTTCTTCATTTTATCGCCCGGAATGCATGCTCCCTCTGATCTATACAAATATAAGTATGTCTCGAGAAACACTACTATTCGCTATTTAACGCAGAAACTTAGCAAACTTATTTTGTCTGCGGAGTACACGAACGAAGCACGGCATTTTTAGAAACCCTGTTGTGTTTCTTTTTTTAATAGAGCTTTACACTGCTCGATCTGGAGAGGTGTCCGCAGCAGCAGCACCAAAACGCATATTTCTTTCCTCGGATAAAAATCTTCAGCCGTTACTGTGTTTCTGTCGTTCAGCTAGCCAAACTAGCTAAAGTAACGTTCTCTGCGAATGCACTGGAAACCCGGAAGTTTTAAAATCCAACCTGCGGAGCGCTCCCAACATATCGGCCCACATTCACACGCACGAAGCCGTTCTGGATGCCCCCGCTTTGCCGACCCCGCGTATGAGGGTCAATCGATAACGCATGGCGCGCGTTTGTTTAAATATTCTGCCACGGCATGACGACCATATGACGCTCGGTGGTTTCCCGTGGCCACAGAGAAGAGTACAGCTCCCAGCCAATGGATCTCAGCCACCCAAGGTGTATGGGTACTGCTGGTTCGGGTGTTCAGCCAGCAAGAACAGTCACTTCGAAGCCTCAGACAACAGCAAGTTCAGCCCTCTTTGAGGCCTCTCTGCGCAACTTTTGCCGACCCAACGATGATCGAAGAAAGGCCTGGAACCCCAGCTGCCGCATAGCCTATAAGAGCAAAGTTATTGAACCGCATGGAAGCAGAGAGACTTTTCAGCTCATTCAACCCTTTGAGACCGCTAAATGCGCCTCAAAAGCCAAGCCTTTCACGCCTGTCCAAATCAAGTCCTTTCCGCCTATTTGCGCACAAAGTGTCAAAGTTAGTGCGCGCTATCAGTCAGGCAACGACAACACCAACCAGGCGATGGACAACTTGAAGTGTCTTGTAGATAATTTTGTACGTAAACTCTTCAGTGGGGCTGGGAATTTTGATGAAAGTGCGCTTGAAGAACTGAGAATGACGTTTAGCAGGATACAGCAAAATTCCACGACTGCCCAGGATGAGGGTCAAAACGGAAGCAATGTTGTACAGAACGGTTCCTGTGGATCTCAACAAACTCTCTATCAGACGGTTTTATGGTGTATTATCTTTCAGGCCTGTATCGATGTGCTATCAAAACCGAGCGAGACCTGTTCTGTAGACCACCTTCTAAATCGGTCTTGGAAATACCTCGAGAATATGAGAAGTATTTTGCAGCCTTACATTTCCATTGAAGAGGAAAAACATACTGTGTTGCATTCAAAAGTCAACGTGAATCAGTCCAATAGGGCGGACTTTTTTGAAGGAAGCGATGGCTTTTCAAGCCACCTTACGGAACAGTCTCAATCCTGGGATTCTTATACTTCAACAGTGAGTGCAGCCAGTTCCCTTCCCCCAGTCGAGAGTACTAAAGCTACGGAAACCCACCGAAGGCCTTATGATTCAAAGAGTCGGAAAGAAACGTTTGAATCCTCCTGTAGGCACAAGAGACGAGAGTGTCGCGAACTACACTGTGAGAAGTGGGCTGATGCTTTTGTTGGAACTGCAAAACTCGAGCATAGCTCAATTGTTTCTCTACGAAATGCAAGGGTGGGAACAGAAAATCAGTCTGTA